GGCTGCGGGGGCTCCCGCGCCCGCCCAGCCGCCCGCAGCCCCCGGAGCTGCCGCCCGGGCTCCCCGCGCCTCGTCCCGGCGGGCACTGATGGCCTTTGTGTCCCCGCAGGGGAGCATGGCTTGGGGCGAGTTCAGCCTCCTCCGCTGGCTGCGGGAGAGCCGGCAGTCCAGGAAACTCATCCTGCTGATCGTGTTCATCGCCCTGCTCCTGGACAACATGCTGCTGACGGTGGTCGGTAGGTGGAACGGCTTGGTTTGGCTTGCTTTGCTTTGTTTTGTTGTGTTTTCCCGGTTTATGCCAGCAATAATCTCCGGTGACAGATGCACTCCCTGAATGCCTGCTTAATGCTCTCAAACCAAACATTTTCAAGCACTGATTTTTTTATTTTATTTTATTTTATTTTTTTTTAAAAACACGAATGATGTTCTAGGTATTGCAAACACACTGCCGTGCACATCAAAGTCTCGCTTTATTGCCATGTTAATTGCAGGATAAGGAATAGTATTAAAAAGTCTTTGTATTTTTTTTTTTTTCCTACTAAATGCCACTAATACTTCACAGAACGACAGATAACAGTATTTTTAGCTCATCATCATTTTTCCTTCTGTGGTCATGCAACCGAAACAGAGGGCTAGATAACGCTGGAGATGCCTGTTTCCTTGTGATAGTTCCTCTTTCCCCTACGTTGGTCTTAAAATGAGAGGTTAATAAGAAAACTATCTAACTGGGTTTTACGAAAATCACCTCTATGAGTTGGTTTAATAAAATAACTAGAGTTTTGATCGAAGTTGAAGATGCAACTTTTACTGGCTTAGTGGTATTGTGCCAAGATTTAGGAGTCTACTCAAATAAAACATTTGAACATTTTACACTGGTAGTTTTAGAGCTCCTTATATTAAAATGTTCACATGAATTTAAAGAAAAGGGTTCAGAGACACTAGTGAGCGGTTCCTGGCTGTGCACACACACACACACACGAAGGCACATGGATCTCTTGGACGTGAGCTGGGCTGTGCAGAGCCGGCTCTCAGACACTGCTGCAGGGTCAGCTTCTGAATCACACTCCTGAATTTCTTGGGGGACTTCAAAGGGCTGATGCCACAAAGTAGACCTTAGCTGAAAACATACATGTTTTTTTACATGAATACGTTTGTTTATAAAGCTGCTAACACTGAATTACTTATTCAGTGATATGCATGTTAGAAGCCCTAGAAATTGTTATAGTTTGCAGACTTATTGAAAGAGTGGGCTTTTTCAGGAAGAGATGAAAGACAAGGGGGGGAGGGGGTAAATTGAATGAACCCGACATCTGTTTTCACGAGTTCTGAAATGTTAATTTCAGAGATACATATTAATGCAATTAACTTGCAGCTAAGATCCTAAAGCATATAAAGAAGGTGCCTTCTGGATGATCTTTTCATTGTAAATTTTTATAAAATAGTGAGACATGCAAACATCAACACATTAGTTCAGGTTACTTAATATAGGAATGTTACATTTTTTTCCTTCTTATGGTTAATATTTTTGTGCTTCATTTTAGAAATGTGTTTTATTACATTTTCTTATATTTTGGTTTAACAATAGTTTCAATGCTTTTCTCGTCTTTCGTGTTTTTGTAATGGAATAAATGTATTTGTGCAGACGTGCAACAAAGAGACTCTTCAGACATGAGTTTTGACACATCTTATATTTTGCTTTCTGAATGATGTCTGTATAGAAAATCTTCTATTTATGAAAACAGGCAAAAAATAAAGACTAACATAAAAGAACTTTTTGTTTTAAACTGCACTTCTGAGTTACAGGTGTGCTTTTTCCTGTGAGCAAACCTCACTTCTGTGTTTCTGCTGTTCAAAATCCTTACTAATGTGCTTGGTAGGAAAGTCTTGTGTTTCCTAATCAATGGCAAAGCAAACAAGAAAATTTGGTGGTTCCATTTACAAATAACCCAATAGTAAGATGCCAATATATTCTATTTGTTTTTCCAGTGCCAATAATTCCCAGTTACCTTTACAGCATCAAACATGAGAAAAATGCCACAGAAATCCAGACGACTAAGCCTAACATAGTCTCAAAAACGATGGACAGTTTTCAGAGCATCTTCTCCTACTACGACAACATGACAATGGTTACTGGAAATGAATCTGATAAGACACAACCCAGAGAGTTGCATCATACTCAGACAGAACAAATGATAGTAAATGTGACTCCTTCCCCATCCGACTGCCCTAAGGAAGATAAGGACCTGCTGAATGAAAACGTTCAAGTTGGTCTCTTGTTTGCTTCAAAAGCAACAGTGCAGCTAATCACTAACCCCTTCATAGGGCCGCTGACAAACAGGTATGTTATTTCTGCTACGTTACTCAGGTAGGATTTCATGTTGGTGGTTTAGTCTGGACTAGTGTTTCAAACAAAGTATTTTTAATTCTATTGTGGCCCTGGCTTACTGGCCTTCTCACTTTATCTGGAGGAATATTTCAGTGAAATATGTTTGATGAACACCTACATCATTTCCAGAATAAATTGGTAAGCTGCATGTGAGCCATCTGATATTTTCAGTATTGTACACTTTTCCTCCAGCTCCTGAGACCTTGGCTTTTTATAGAAACATTAGCTGAAATGGTGTTCAAACATCTTCAACACAGTTACATGGGGCCAAAAGACACTACAATGTAGTATTTACGAAGCACTGTGAATTGATGACGTTATCTGTTCCACCCACATTAGGCAAACATGATATTGAAACTGTAGGCAGGGTTCAGATCTCTCCCTTGCTCTCATAGAGATGCTCAGCTGTTGGTGTGATTTGGTATTCAATGATTTGGAGTTGTCTGAGGTAAGAATCAGTGGGAAATTCGTGTGGACTTCAGTGAAAAATTGACACGTGTCAAACTTTGCTGATGCCATGTTCATCACTGAGTTCAGGGGATCACAGGTTTCCACCAGTACATGATCTAGGCCAGCCTTCAAATTATTCTCTCAAAATTCTTACATATATATGACATCTTGAACCAAGCATTTTTAAATGGTGCTTTATAGAAGATCTGTTTGAGCCAAGGGTTTGATCGAGGGTATAAGCACCGATATCAATGACTTCAAACCGCACCCCACCCCCCAAATCCGAACACTAATTATGTTTATATGGAGATTAAAATGTATTTATAATATCATTTACATTTTTATGTTAATAATTAAATTGATTTTATTGTTAGCATTTTGTGTAACTGTTCCCCACAGAAGCAGCTGCAGTCCTCCTAAACAGAGTATGAGATCAATCTCTGCAGGAAATAAACCTGAAATTGTATTTAGTCGGGTCACTAATTTTCATATTTCTTCTAAAGAATGATTTTTCCTTTCAGAAAATAATACGTGGCAGAAATTTTTCTTTGTAAAACACTTCTGTTTAAGCAGTTGATGCCCGTCATATGTGACAATACCCAAAATAACCAAGACACTTCAGTGCTAGATATTTAGGTTTTGAAGCCAAAACTACCTTTCTCAGGTTTTACAGCTTATATACATATATATTATCTGAGTATTTAATTTCAGTCTGATAGAAGAGTATCCAGCTGAGGGCTAGGCAGTGGTTTGACTCACAGTGCTATGAATTCAAAACCTGTGTTCAATCTGCAAAAGCGATCTAAACACAAAAGCTTTAGATGAGAGACAGTTTCATTTTTCTCTCATTTCACCTTGTCTCCTACTGCATACCACCTAGACAGATACAAGCACGCCTTTGCAGAATTGCTTTTACACAAATATTGCTGCAAGTTGAGGAAGAAAACCCGAATTTTGTGTATTGTTTTGTGAGGATATGATAGCTCATCCACTGGCAAAGTAACGTAACATCAAATAGTATTTTCACAACAGTTCTTTAGGCATTCTTCTAGGTTTTCCTAAATGTCTAAATTATTGCCCTATTGATATTTACTTTTCTCTGTTAGCGTCGCCATTTCCAGGAGAAAGGCAATAATCCGCTCCACGTTTTGAATAGCACAGTTACGTCATACTGTAGATACAATCTCTGCTCTTTCTTTGGTAGACATCTGCCTAAGGAAGAGGGTGAGCGTCCTTGCCGATGCCTCTCCATGTGCCTATGCATCTGAGGACCGGAGCCTGGTGCTGCCAGTGCCAAGGCACGGGGCAACACCTTTTACCTGGAGCTGGCTGTCACGACACACGGGATACATCCTTAGGTTTGGCAATGGGGCAGTAGATGTTCTTGGAGCATCTCCCTTTGCTGTTAGGAGCAGGGTTGGCAACACACCCGTGTGAACATTAGCGCTGTAAGCTGAGATTTCCTCCTGGAAACGTCCAAAAGGGGTTTTTTTGCATGGGGCCAAGTCTGTGCCTGCAATCACAGGGGCAGGTTTGCAAGCTCAGATGCCCAACAAGTGTAAGAAGAAAAACCAAGATCAAGGAGCACATCATCCCAGTGTCCTGTGAGACAGATTCTTCTCTCATACAGCAGAAATGAGTGCCTTAGTGGCAAAGTGGCCCTAAATTAGATTTAAAGATTACTGGTTTTCTTTCATGCATTATTTGTATCTTGGTACCAGTATCTGCCTTTCTTCTGAGAAATGTTTAGTGGAAAATACCAGTTAACACATTTATCAATTAACTGTAAAAGTAATTGGCAAAAAATCCCCCTCAAGTTGACATTTCCTAATAACAATGTATATAATCAGTTAAAAAGCAGTGTGAAAATTGTGATTATTATAAACGAAACAGAAAATATCTGAGTTATCATTGTAAAGACTCTTCCTTACCACTGATAAGCTCTTTAGTGATAATTGTTATTGCCGTTACTACTTTTGCAAAATTTCAGCAAAATATCACAGCTTAAGGAGAACTGATTGCTTAGTTCAAGATCAGCGTGCACACAGTTTGTTAAGATGCCCAGTAAGTTTCTTTTTCAAACATGCTGTGTTTGTCTTTTTTATTTTTCAATCAAATACAGTTGTTCAAGAGCAGTTTAGCTTATTAATCGAGTATGAAGTTACTGGCTTTCAGTAGGCACTGGCTTTGAGTGCTTGAGTTTTTACAGGATGCAACAGGATGTGCCATTCATTGGTGTCTGTGCCAATAATAACTTTATTTTAGGTTTTCTGAAGTTTTGTAGACCGTTTTTCCCTTTTTCTATAACTACTGGAGGTATAGATTTTTAAAAATAAATTTCAAAATTGATTTCATTCAAGAAGTAAGTTCTGCTAAAAATATTTCATCTTTAAAGCCCAGCTCTTTCCATGGAGTAGCAGACAAAACACACAGCTGGCTTTGTGAACTGGTTTGCAATTTGTGAAACAGCACAATTTACCCTTGGTCTAACAAAGTCCTAGCAGAGGAAACAGTAGTTGATGGCTTTGCCATAGGTGGCATGGCCTCAGGGAAGGGCTGACAAGATTCTATGGCTCAGATGCCTTTCCTTGTGGTGAAATTGTTAAGAAACTATAGAAATAGCACAGCACTCGATACAGGACACTTTGTGAGGAGGATGTACTGGCAAGCAGAGACTGAAGGCTCTGCTTAATCCTTTCCAGTGAAGAGTATGAGCAAAAAGCTGCTGTGCTTTCTATAGCTGATGTGCTCCTTTATTTTTTTTGCTCTTACCAAGTGCTAGGAATGCAGCTGTGAGCCCAGCTGTGCTAGCCCCACAATCCACTAGAGGCAACGATGTCTCCCCTGCCATGTCTTTCTCTCCCTTTATTTATTAGTCTGAAAAATATATGTGGTCTTAACTTCATGCTTACCCATATTGGCTTCAAAAATCATTAAAAATGAAGTTACTTACATCATCGTCATTTGCAGATTTTAGCTTCTGAGAGAGAGAGTGGCCAGGACCATGGTACAAGCAAAGAATGAGGCAAAGAAATAAGTAGCATTTGTAACTACGTAGTTACAGTTCAGTTCCTACGTAAGCTTTCCTTTCAGTTTTGGCAGGTGATTGAAATGACCAGTTCTGCAGGTTGGACAAAGCCCCTCTGCCACCCTGTGCTACAGCACAGAGCATGGAGGTGGAGGGTGCACCGACCATGCTCCCTGCCCCTGCTGACCCTGCACGTTCTTCCTTACCTTCACACACATTCAGCAGTTCGTTGGTTCATAACCTCAAGGAAAATATTCTTCTTGCCATACGTCCTCTCTGGTCTTCACTGGCAGTAAAGACAACAGCCAGACTGCCAACCAGGACAGACTCGACAAGGGGTGCTCACAGTGGTACCGGTGTAGCTGTGGAACGACATGGTTGAAATCAGTGGATTTCCAGTACAGTAATGGACAGATCATTAGGCTCTAATCATCCACAGCTACTAACCTGGTCAGTGTAACTTATTTTACTGCTGCACAGGACCCATCACTTGGTTGTCTTATTGTAGGGTAACCTTGTTAATGGGTATAATCCACTTCCAAACAATCCTGCAATTTTGGGGCCAGCGTGGGACTGAAACAGGGTGATTTAGGCATTCTTCATCAGTGGCAGCTTTTGCTCTCCCTCTTTCACCTAATGACTCCAGCTTTTGCAGAGGTCAGAAAAGCTTCTGGGAAGTCCCTTTAGCTGCAGGTAGCCTTAGTGAAACATGCTGGACTCTGCTTCAGATTCTGTTGGAAGGTTTTGAAAGGAACACCCAAGAAAATTGCCTGTTTGAGCGTGGTAACAAGAAAAAAGAAGAGAGAAGACAGGCTGTACTATTCTTTTTTGTTGCATGCATGCAGAGGAACAAAATGTAGAGATAAATGTGATGGAGTATGCCAGGTCATGGCCAAGAGGTAGAAACTGCATATTCACAGGTTTCACATGGCAAGAACACGAATGGCCCAGGACTAAGGGACAGAATCACTGAATAGACGGTTGTAACAGTTAGTCACTCTCCTTTTTGTGATTATTTATATTGTATAATGTAATTGTTCAGCAAAACCTCCCAGTCTGTGCTCTCTAATATCGGTCGGACAGATCAGGAAGTGTAGCTGCAGATTAGACATTTGTGGTACCACAACTGCCAACTAATTAGTGCTGCTATTTCAGGAGGAGGCAGGGTTTGCTAAGAATATGCAGGAAAGGACAATCTTCGTATCTAACTAAATGTCAGCTGGATGTGGGTAAGACCATCCCTTGAGCAAGAGCAACCATGGCTTCTAGAGGGTCAGCAGTCTTGTGCAGGGGCAGCACACCAGAATCGTGCATCTCCAAATCGTGGGTGAAGCTCCAGGCAATTTTTAGCTATTCAGAGGATTATAATGACTTGTTAAATTCAGCACAAATGCATGTCCTATGCTGACTTGTATACCTTTGCATCTGCTTGTATGATGGATCACTGGCAATGCAGACTTTGGCTGAAAGGGCTAGCTGTGCCCATACAGAATCTAGTTCTGAAATGATTAATTTCTGTGTGGAGGAAAATATGTGTTAGACCTCGGTATATTATGATAAGCATCATGATCTGCTGGGTAGCAAGAGTAGGACCGAGCTCTTCTCCAGTTCTGCTCTCATCACCCTCTGCTACGTATTGCTTCACACCTTGCTGTGACTCTGTTTGTCCAAGATAAATGAAGAACAATATCTGTAACTGCAAAAATTAAGAACGGTATTACGCTGAGCATTAAAAGTGACTTCCAAAATACTCATTTTCTTACAGCCTTCAACCACCAGAAACTTTCCAAGTGTAGGAAGCCTGTTGGAAGAACTGAAATCTGCTGTAGCTTGATAGGCTATCATTTAGAACCATAGAATGGTTTGGGTTGGAAGGGACCTTAAAAATCACCTAGTTCCAAATCCCTGCCATGGGCAGGTACACCTTCCAGTAGACCAGATTGCTCAAAGCCGCATCCAACCTGGCCTTGAAATTTAGAACCAGTAAGCTAGCCCTTCTCCTTGTTTAACTCATTAATGTTTATGGAAGATCTCACAGCTCATGTCTCTGATCTAGTGGAAACGTGAATGTGGGAGCCAATTTGAACGGCATTTTTCTTCATGCCAATACCTGAATTTTAATTCAGTGCACTTGTAGCAGAAGCAAATTTCAACGAGGTATTTCTACAGGTTGTTCAGAGTCCTAATGAAGAAATGGGCTGATGAAATAAGCTTTGATCAACTCCATTTTTACTCCTAAACCCATGGAAAGAAAAAATACTATTCTCAGGCTCCTTGGGACTCTTCCAGTGCTCCTGGCTGAGGCAGAACTCCCAACAAAGCTGATGACAAATTTTTCCCATAAAAAGGCCTCATTATAGTCATTGTCTCATGAGGATGGAAACAGATGAGCCCTGAAACACTACCGGGATATTTCAAAGTTCGGCATGCTCACTCAAATCTTCCCCTCTCATAACCTTGGCAGCCCCATGGAGGCCCAGAGGGACTTTATTTGGAACAACTATGGTGGAATGAGAATAGGGCAATCAGATTCTAATTAGAGAAGGATTCCTTCCAGGGATTTCAGATACAAAGTCTGCTGTGCCAGATGAAAGGCATTTGTAACAGGGACAAATTTGATCATGTGGTTCACAATAAACAGTTCAAAGCCTACCAAGGAACTACAGGTTGAGTTTTTGTGGTGTGTGCACTCATAATAGTAAGTCTAACTCTAAATGTCAGTGACACGATCCCAGAAATGTGAATGTTTGTTTTGTTTTCCAGAATAGGCTACCAGATTCCACTGTTTGCTGGCTTCTGCATCATGTTTGTGTCAACAATCAGTAAGTGTCCACATCTCATTTGGTCTGGCCCAGATGCAACTTTTAAATAAATTATCTATAATAATTACCACTAGGAATTCTTCTTGCTGATGTAGAGGGACTGATTTCCAAGGTGGCTGCTCCCTGTGGATGATGGCACTAAGATTTGACAAGTATGCTCTTATGAACACGCTCTAAGGAATTCATGACCTTCCATCCCACCTCGGTGGGTCTCTTCCTTAGCTGAATCTTTCTCTCAGGTGCTTGTAATCTGAAGTGGTGCTCAGACAGTTTTAAACAGATAGCCATAAGAGGGCTATCTTGCAAGGGTCCTTAACAACTAGCTATGGTCGGGGCTTATCAGAAAGATCGTGAGACTGCAGTGGCTCATGAGTGGAAGATGAGTCAACAGTATCATAGCATTGCTTAAACATCGCTGCGGGATGTGCAAACAGGAGCACAGCCTGCAAGTCAGCTGAGATAATTTGTATGCTCTAATGGCATTGATAAGGCTTCAGCTGCTGTTTTACATTCAGTTTTGGCATGGCACTTAAAGTTGTGGACCGGCTGGAAAGAGTACAGAGGAGAACATCAAGTATCATTAGAAGCCTGTGAGGAACAGTGAAAGAACCGAGGTTTGCTTCAGAAGGCAGATGTAAGATGTATTGGAGTCTTTGACAAAAAGGAAGGGAATAAAGTTTTCCATGTCTGCTGTACATAAGAGAAAGAATAACAAGCTTTAAATGGTATCATCAAGGGCACTGAAGTGCTGGAGAAGATTACCTGGTCTCACGGTCACTGACAACTCTGCATTTTCAGAACATGTTAGACAAATTGTGGTTGGGACGGAGATAAGAGTAGTGAGCCTAATTCATGGCAGAGGGGGTACTGTTGATCTGTTGACATCCTTCACTTATTGTTCTTCTCTCTTTTTCTTTTCTTCTTTTTCTTTTCTTCTTTTTCTTTATTTTTCCTTTCTTCCTTTATTTTTCTCTCTCTGCACAAGCAGGGATTTTTGTAAGACTGGTGGAAAGCCCGAGAGGCACAATGCCACAGGGTGGTCGGGAGAAGTGTACGTGGGTCTTGTATTTAGTTGGTGCATAACAGCTTCCCCCAGCTGTAACCTGTCTGGCAAAGTTCCTTAGGTGGCCAACAGAGAGAAGCTGAAAAAAGTTTTTAAAAACTCACTGTAGATTTATTGACACTGATCATGACACAAGCTCTACCCGCAGAGATGTGCTTGGGTTTCTGGGACACTCTTCCTTTCCAGTATTGTGGATGGGAATTTGGCTGGACTGATGAGTGCAGCACCCAGGGGCTCAATCCCAAAAGGCAGAGTGGAGCCTGGGGTAAAATCACTTGGGGAGAGATAGAGAGTCACCTCCTCATGTGCAGTTTCTCTGGTGGGCTGCTGTTGGGAGGATCAGGAACTTGCTACAGCCCTTGAACTGGTGGAGCTGGCTTCCCTGCACCTTCAGCCAGCTGTGCTGCACAGCATCTATTGCAAAGCTGGCAACACCGGGGTAAAAACCTCTCTCCACCCATCTACTTACTGGAGGAAACATCAGTGTGTGCATGCGTGCAGGGGCGTGTGTGTGTGTGTTAAATCCTGCTTTCCCTGAACGCCTGGAGCCTCAGACTGGGCAGCCTTAAATGAAGCAGCGTGGGGAGGCAAGGCTGGAAAGAAAGGTCTTATTGCTCCTTCTGCGTGCAGCTGAATCAGAGCAGGATGTAATCAAATCCTAAGTAATTAGTTAAAACTGCTTGTACGCTTGCATTCTGTCTTACCAGGAGGCTTAGACACCTGAGAGCAATTCAACACTGACACATCTAAATGCAATAAAGGAAAATAATGCTGTTAGCATTGAAAGTGGCAGAAGTCACTGTAAACACTTGACTAAATTGCGTGAAGTTTTTGTGATAGTTTAAAGAAATCTAACTTTTTAATCTAGTTAGAGTTAACCTAATTTAAAAAAATTCACCTCTGTTTTTTCTGTAGTGTTTGCCTTCTCTGGAAGCTACACATCACTGTTTATTGCCAGGTCCCTTCAAGGAGTGGGTTCCTCTTGTTCTTCGGTGGCTGGTAAGGGGAGAGATGACAGAGCAAAATACAGATCACCGATGCTGTCATTTTTAGTAATTTTCTGTATTGTATTTTGTCTGCAGTTTCAGTAATTAATACAAAAATATTCAATTAAATCAATTCCACATTTTTTCTGTCCCTTTCATATAAAGTAACTCAAAAGCAAATGTCTTTTCAGACTTCCTTGGTATTTGGGTTGTGGTAAGGTAGAGCACTAAATGAACTTCACTCTCCCTGGGATTTCTGCATGTGCATCTTCAATATTTTAAATTCATTTTTAGCCATTTTAAAGGTCATCAGGAACTTATGTTGGTACTTCTTATAGTAGGGATAGCAGCTCTGTCTGTTACTGAAATTTCTGTTATAAAATGTTGTTTTCAAGGACTTACCATGCTATCTGCCAGTTTGGACTCAGGTCACCTGTACCAGATTTCCAATACAAGGCTGTAAGTTTTAAATGAGTAGGTGAAATGGAGCACGGGTTTTCAGCCCAAACTGTTCAACCATTTCTGAGACTGGAGAAAATACGATTTGTTAATGTTAGAACATTTCACAATCTTTCATTTGAAAAATTTCCCGTGACGGCAGCAGGAACATAAATTTGGTTTGGGAGGGGAGGTGAAGAGAGCTTTTTGTCGAGAATGTGTCTTTTGGCTTCTTCAGGAAAATTCCCCTTCCAAGTTGGGGTGGCCTATAACCAGGGTTCACACGCACTCCATAGAAACTGATCAAGAATTTGGCAGCTGGATTCCTCCTACGTTCCTTTTGCAGGGATTTTGCTCCAGCCCATATCTGGGCAGCGCTGCTTGGGCCAGCTGGGGAGACGCAACGTCCCAGACCGAGCATTCAAACTGGGAGCAAGAGGCACCTTATGGCTAAGATAGGTTTGAAGCTGCACAACAAGCACTAAATAGAGATATTTAAGCCTGGATGAGCAGTGGGAGCAGTGGGGATGGGGCTAAGGGAGCAGGCAAGGGCTGGGATGAGGAGCCAGGGATGGGGAAGGCAAAGACAAGCAGGAGGGGTAGAGACAAGAAAATCCATTTTTTTCTCCTTGTACCAGTTAAGGTTACAAGTCAAGATTTCCAAAAGGAAGGCATGTCAGAATCAAAATTATTGTTCAGCTTTAGACCAGTCCCTGTGCAAGTGCGAACCTTGAGATTGGGCTCTTAGACAAATACGTGACTTTTTTTCACAAACAACCTACAAAATAGAGCAGAAAAGGCTGAGAAACCATCTAGTCCACCCCCTTCCTGAAGGCAGGATCAGCTTTGTATCTGTCGTTCCTCATGCATACTTGACAGGCATGTTCTCAGAAGCCTCCAGAAATGCCCTCAGCATCTAGCTTTGTGCTTGAGTACCTCTACCATCAGGAAGTTTTTTCTGATGTCTCATCTAAATCCTCCTTACTGTCATGTAAACTCATTTCTGCTTCCCACAGTTGAGAGAACATGAAGAACAGGTTCTTTTCTTTATCATTGTGGCTCTTTTTCATATTGCAAGTCTATTATCACATCTCACATAGTTTTTCTCTTCTCTGGTTTTAAATAGAAAGTCCTGCAGTTGTCCCTCACAGGTATTTGTCTAAGCCTTTGCTCATCCTCATTGCTCTTCTCTGGGTAGTCTCCAGTCACCTCCACATTTCTTCCTGTCCCGCACCAAAACTGGACCCAGCACTCAGAAGAAACTCTGACTCTATACAAGAGCAAACAGCAGTGAGAGTCACTTCACGTATCTCACAGGCAAAGGAAGATTTGTGTAGTACTGCTGCAGATCAGTTGTTTACCCCTGCTGCATTTCTGATTGTAATCTTTCCTACCTAAGAGAAAAACTTAGTGTTGTCTTCTTTGTATTGCCTCCTATTTTTTTCCAGAGTATTTCTTCAAGTCTCACAAATGCATTGTGAATTCTGATATCATTCTCTAGCTTGCCCTTCAACTGTTCATGCAAACAGTTTGACGTCATCCACAATTCTCCAAACATGTTCATCTGCACAGGATCTCTGCTCTTTTGGTGCACATGATGGATGGTATTCACTTAATGATCTATCATGCAACATTCTGTTTTCTTTTTCTGGCTCACTGTATAGCTGTGGACCCTTTTTACTGAGTCCAACTTAAACATTGACTTGAAAACAGAATTATTTGTTTCTATGAGGACTCTTCTGCACCACTTACCTCTACAGTGTCTGAACGATTCACAGAAAACATATAAATTTGGTTTCATGTTTCCTTTTGTGAAATGAAGGCTCATCATCAAATGCAGAAGGGAGGCACGTGAAGATGAAGGTCAAAGAATCCTTTAATTTTGGATGCTGAACTTGAAATACTCATTTTCAAAGTAATCAGCTCTGCATAACGCCTCATGCCCAGAGCACAGCTAGCACTGACCACAGTTACAGCCGGGAGTGGTCACCAGACCTTTGTGTTAAGTGCTCAAAGTATAAATCATAAGTAGTGAATGCTTGTTTCACCTACTTGAGAAGTATCTTCTGTGAAAAAGACACAGACAAAGAACCTAACAAATGGGGGCATCATTAAATTATCTGACTAATACTGAATAATAGACCATGGTCTCAGAGACCATTTACATTTGCCAAACCTCTTTTTTGCTTCAAGGTGAATTCCGTGTG